TGAGACGTATTTACACTTGTATGCAAATTTGTCCGCCATTACGTAAAATCACACAGGTTCCCGTAAACTTTGACATCATAATTCAAAATATTTGACGTCACAATTAAAAAGTGATTGTTGCCTGACGTCAAAAGGTGATTCGGAGTAGATCTAAGGTCATTCGGAGGCAAAATATAGCTAAATACCAAAAGTGTAAAATACGTTTATTGAAGGTAATGGAGGGCGAGCTGGACTCAGTGACAAAAAAAAAATTGAAAATAAGTCACTGAGGCCAGGGCTGGACTAATACAGCAACCTGAAGAGAAGAAGCCCAATTTTTTTTTCAAAAAGTTTACTTTCATAATCTATAAAATACCCAGAGAAATTGGACAAGGGCTACTGTGCTAGCTAATCTAATAGTTGATTTTTACAATAATAATGATTTTAAAATTCAAAATTATGTCACTTTCACTTATAATTTTAAGCATTATTTTTTTACAGAATTTTTGTAACTTTTTTGGTAAACTTTTCCTTTTTCTGTATGATATTTTCTAGGAAGTACTGTACTGTTCAACTGAGAAACATAGGCTTGAGTTAAAAGGCTTTTTTACTTTGAAGAAACTAAATTGTGACTCTTGGTCCCACTTGATTAAAATATAAAATATAAATGGTCAGTACTATTTTTGTTTTCAAAAAGATTATTTAAATTGTACACAGTATGTTTTATTGCATTAAACATTGTAAGAAATATTTAAAAAATCCATTAGGAGTGATCCCATATCCCATTATAAAAATTACAAACTGAAAGTAAATTTCATCAGCTAGAGCTATATATCAATTCAGCTATGTTTCTAGATCTAATTTTTACCAATTTTTTGTCTTTTAATTTATACCTGTAATCCTTCTCTGAAAAGTAGGGAAGTATCTCTTCTTAATATTTTAATAACATAGTTGTTAATCGACTTTCTTTTATTTTCTTTTTGATTTTTGTAAAATTAACTCCTTTTTATTCATTTTGGTGGGTTTTATTTTTGACTGGTGATAAGGGGAGATAACCACTTGCACAAATCGGCAAAAAAACCACCGCTTCGTGTTGAACATAACTTGACGTTTGCGTATCCAAAATTGTATTGCCTAGATATTAATATCGAGTGTTTGTCTTAATGAGATGCTTTATTTAATTTAAATTCAGCCCATCATTTTTAGTTTCCTCGAAAATATTTAGATTTTTCGATCATGAGCCTTCACAATTTTCACACAAACTTCAAGTTTGAAGATAAAATAAAGAATAAAGGACTTTGAGTTGATGTGTAAGTTTTGCCGAGTTAAAACTATGTATATTCAAGATTATTCTGATCAATAAGTTTTTACCATGACAGTGGTATTTTAGTGAGTAAAAGTGAGGTTTGTTTCATCCGTAGTTTTACTGAATTTTCACGGTCACGTGGCTCTATACACCTAATCGCTATTTATTCCATTCCGGATAAGTTCTAAAATTACACAACTTTTTCATCCAGTTGACGCTATCTGGGACCCTGTTTAAACAATGCACCATGCATGATACTTTTTAATGAGACCTGTTTAAAACATCGTAAATACTTCAAACACAATATTTTTTTGACTTTAATTTGAGTTTGGAAAAAGTGGATCATAATCTATCAAAGTTTCCTATTGATCGCTTTCTAAATTTTTCCCTCCCTCAGCTCGTTACTGATGACCTTTGTTTGCGGCCTGTTGACCCAAACAGGAAGTTGTCTAAATGACTGTTTTTTCCGGATTGGACTAAATAGCGATAAGGTGTATTGTTGCTGATAGACTTGGGGTCAAACCGTGACCTGCTTTCCAACTGTGGTTGCAAGGGGGGAAGGAAGAAAGACACTTCTTTGGCCATTACGCCGCAATTTGTTATCATTTTAATATAACAGAACGAAGTAGAATGCTAGTCGTACAGGTAAGTAAAAATTGATTGATTTGCTTATTTTTTTCATCCACTTCAGTAGTCCAAGATGTCTCAGATTTAGCCAGTCAAAAGGTAATCGGCGCTTGGTTGGGTAATGGCTTAATATATTATATCAAATATTATCGAATGCCGAATTTTTTCTATAGGTCCCGATTTGACCAGGTGCCGATTTGACTTGTGCCCGACGGAAATTACTCTGACGTCCAACGCCTGTGGGTCCAGCTTGTCCTGTGACTTGTAAAACAGCCATTGGAAGTGAGAGTTATCTCGGACCAGCACTTCGGTGACTTGATACCACAGCGGGATTATATATCTGATAACTTTAAATTCTAGACGGCAAATTGCAGGCTTTTAAATGGTTAGGCAATAATGATTAATGTCATTCGGGAGATCATCTCCCATGTCCTCGGGGGAGGGTGGCACTTCGACCCTTTCGTAGTAGCCAGTTGCGGATCCAGAACTTTTTTATAAAAGGGGGGGGGGGGGGGGGGGCATTGCCTTCGATGACAATAGAGGGGCCCGCTAAAGTCATGCTTCAGTGATTCCCTATATAATCAACCAATTTTTTTCACACGATAGGGGGACCCCCCCCCCCCCCCCCCCCCCCCTGGATCCGCCTATGGTAGCAGTGAAAATCTGAGACATACTTATCATGTCTTATGAGAGTTTTTATCGACCCTGACTGGCTAAATCTGAGACATCCAACCCCAACCTTTTATAGGGACTTTATAGATTTTGGAAATATGTACACTATCATGTTATATGCGTGATTATGCTGTTCCACGGAGAGATATATATAAATTTGACTAAGGACACTATGAGTCAAGCCACTCAAGGAACCATCGCTAAAAATAAGATGTTGCATGTGTGCTAATGAGACAACTCTCCACCGGACTTAGACAAAATACCATAGCAGTTAAAAAAATTAAAGGTCAGCAAACGGCCTTCAACAATGAGCAAAACTCGTACCGCATAGTCATCTATGAATAAGGGTAAATGTAAAATACTATATTTATTATGTTTTAAAAGAAAGGAACACATATCACTCAAATTTACCGACTTCAAATTAAATTTACTCTAATATATACTTATTGGTACTGTACAGGTATACCTAACAACAAAATTATTTTCATTTACCTGTGTTTAAAGTTATTGCAAATGGATGGTATTTTTGTTCGAGCATATTGTTTTTCTTTAATTGTTTAACATTTCTTACCGATATAACATGTTACTTTTATTATTCTTCCCTTAGTTTATTTATTTTGTATTGACATTGTGTCATAGGTCAAATTTATTTGTTCAATGTATGTTCAATGGTGTTAATATGTCCTTTGATTGAGTTAAGCTATTTCAGTTGATATTTTATAGTGTGTCTTTCTATGTTGTGATGTTACACTATTGTTTCGGAAAAAGGGTGAAGGTTTGGTACCATTAAAACGTTTAAACCCGCTGCATTTGTTTGCACCTGTCCTAAGTCAGGAATCTGATGTTCAGTAGTTGTCGTTTGTTGATGTGGTTCATAAGTGTTTCTCGTTTCTCGTTTTTTATATAGATTAGACCGTTGGTTTTCCCGTTTGAATGGTTTTACACTAGTTATTTTTTGGGGCCCTTTATAGCTTACTGTTCGGTGTGAGCCAAGGCTCCGTGTTGAAGACCGTACTGTGACCTATAATGGTTTACTTTTATAAATTTTGACTTGGATGGAGAGTTGTCTCATTGGCACTCATACCACATCTTCTTATATCTATTATATCTGACTTGGAGAAATTAATAATAATATGCTACATGGTTTAATGGGTCAAGCTAGTCCTACATATGTGCCTCCGTGTCATCTTTTCCTCATTGTTTTAAGGTGATATTTTCGTGTTTTTGCTCTTTTTTTTAATACGAAGCTCGGTGGAAGCATGATAATAAAAACAATACATCATGAGCGCAAAATGAATGAAAATAAAATACGAAAATTAAAGAAAATGTAAATATCGCCACACAAGTTTTGTGTTCTAAGACTAGGCTCATGAAAAAAACCAACACAAATTAAGATGTAAAACAAATCCATCCTTGGATGGGAATGAAATTTCACGAAAATTGCTAAATAGGATGTATTTCTCAAAAATAAAAAGAAACATTGGTGACATTGCACACTTTTCTCCTTTTGATATTGTACAGATCTGGGTGTTGTTCCATAAAAATCAATTGAATTAGTGGTTCAGATGTGCAGTCTTCACGCTTAACCACAAGTTCTACGGCATTGGCTTGTAAAATTGCTATCGGACTTGTACAATTCTTCTCTACAAGCCAACAGAATAAAACTAAAATTAAAAAAAAAAAATGAGCTTCTGGCTTGTGGACTCAAAAGTTAAGCGTGAAGGCTGTATGTGTTTTCAATAGTTTTTTTACGACTACACAGAAACATCAGGCATAGATTAGTATGGAAAACTTTAGTTAAGTATAGTTCAAATAAAGGTTTTCTTTGAATAATAAATTAATGCGTTTTCTTGTGGGGAAGGGGGCGCAAGTACGTATACCACATTTGTTATTAACCACGAGTGGTCATTTTCAACTTTGGGAGAAATCAATTTTTAACCGATTTAATACTACATCATACATGAATATTTACTTTCTGTTCAATAGTGTTGTGATGTTACAACGAAAATTTATTGTTGATTACCTTTCATATATTTGCAACATTTAATATGAAGAATATATAGACTCATTGGTTGCTTATGGCCAGATTATATTTTAAAGACCAGAGTGCCTAACTCGTAACTAACTCTGAATGTAAAACTAAAGGATGTTCGGGATGTATGCCAATTAAGAGACAAATATAAGTCCAAATTGGCATGGCTGAAGATGTAAACAACGAGATTTTCATTTTAAGCAATTTCTTCAAACATTTTTATCGGTCAGAATATGTATGCGTATGTTAAAACTGTATTGGATTTCTCGTTTCATCATTTTTCAAGAAGTGGCTGTACCTTTCCGGTTACTATCCATGTGTTGTGTATTATGTATCGTAACACTTTATAGTTATTATTGATGCGCAATGATAAGAAACACGGTATTGGCAGTATTTGGCCACAGCTTTATTATAAAATTATAAACACATATAACTAGGTAAACAGTTAAGATATATATATGTATATAGTAAATAGATATTTGAATTAACGTAGTCACCTTTCATATTGGCAAACTACGACACGATAACTAGATAAATAAATAGATAAATAATTAAGATATATATATAGTAAATAGATAATTAATTAAACGTAGTCACCTTTCATATTGGCAGACTACAAAAAGATAACTAGATAGATAGATAGATAACTAGATAACTAATTCTTTACAATAAATTAAGCATCCAATTAAATGAATCCTGGGAAACAGAGATTCGTAAATTTTTGTGTGGTGGTCCTGGGATACAGAGACCCACAATATCAAATGTTTTGGATGCTAAATGAAATATGACGCCAAATGACGCATATTTAAAGGAAACTCAGCGAAATGTGCCAAATTGACCAAGACAGTCATAAATGACTGTCGGGTCAACCGCCATTAGACAACTGATTATTTTAATGAATTCTCTTAGTCCAAGGACCATAGTTTGCACAAAATCATCAGACCGGAACACAATTCGAACCTGATCTGTAACTTGTCACGATAAAACTATATACCAATTATCAAATCAACGTCTTCAAGTATGACGAAAAAATGTGTGGAAAACTAATAATTTGTGTGTATTTGACTACAACTCTGCACAAAATCATCAGACCGGAACAACATTCATACTTGGTCTGTAACTTATCATGATAAAACAATACACCAAATATCAAATCGATATCTTCAAGCACCAAAAAGAAAAATGTAGAAGACTGATTTGCCGGATTGACAGGTGGACAGACAGACAGACGAACATAGTGAGAACCTTAGGCCCCCTTAAACTCAATCGGTAGGGGACTTATAACAAAGCAATTGACCAGCGACAGGTCTAAACTTGTAAATAGTAAGTTATTACGTTTAAGCAAAAATAGGATAAGCATCTCTAGGCCGCTCATCAATAACGTGTGTGGTTCCTTCGAAGCACAGGTCAGTCTTAGATAAAATTAAATGGATTTCAATAATATATATATTTTTCTTGATACCTGGCGAGATGACAATATTATTTGTAATTTAGTTCATTTATTAGAATATGTTTTTTTTTTTTTAGTATTAATCACTAGCGTAGAGATCGTTTGTACACTATTTTCAATTGCAAGTTACTTTTACAAACTTGATCACCAAAAGTTTTAATCTTTGAAAAGATTATCGTCTGCAAATCGTTGACATGAATTTACAATTTCAGAGAGTTAACGGTTTCCTTACATTTACTATATATCATTTCTAAGGTCAAGAAAAGTTCAAATCGTAATCGGCATCGCAGCTTGTAGATACATTACGTTAGGAATTTATTATCTCAAACTGTAACATATCTCATTAGAAAGATTTTGTATTCGAAAGAGAAACATCGAAATGTGTGTTAAATAATGTGAACAGTTGTACAAGGACTATCAAGTATATATTGTAAACATTAAACGTAGATAACATAATATCGTTTTAATGACAGCCAAATCGATTGAGGATATAATAATACTGCTATATTAACACAATTGTCCAATGCCTAGTCCCAAACCGTCGAACTTTATATCAACCTTAATTCCACTGCAAAAATATCTCAGCAACAATATATATACTCAAGTTCAATTTCTTTATTTGTTATTTTTGTATGAGGCAAAACTGGTTAAATAACAAGTTTCCCCTGTTCAAATGACACTTTTTGCTGGTCATTATCAATTATAGAGTTGTTCCTAACTCGCCCGTTTGATTTTTTTTTTTTTATTTTAAGTACTGACTAACATCTTAATTAAGACTAGGAGAGTAACTAGTTGTTTGCGTGAGATTGGAATGATCTTTACCGATTGCATTACCTGGTCGATATACTACATCAAAAGAACAATTATCCTCCTGAAGTTGGGGGATCGTTAGATGCTGGTACTGATCCTGGTTAAAGTTATGTTTCCTCTTGTCTTGATGCAGCTTCTAATGTTGCAGTGGCTTTCCATCTTTTTGATGACCTTCTTGTATTCATCTTAGTGCCAAACAACTATAAGATTAAATTGAACAACCAAAACAGAATATTGCTTTGTACTATAAATAAAGAATTTGTCAATTAGCGACCTTTAAAAGTTCATTGACGCCTATAAGCAACCAGTTTAACATTCATCTGTCAGGAATGAAATATTTGTGTTTACGTGAAGTGATACCGTTGCACAAATGTCGGTCAGCTTCCGACAATAAAATATTCTGGGTTACACGAGCGAGGAGGCTGATTAAACAATCTGTACCGAATGACGATGCTGTTAAAAATAGCGCAAGTGAGGTGATATGTGCTAATTTATATTATAAAATCGGTCAAAGTAATTAAACGGACACAGTGGTAATTTAACAGAATACTAGACGATATTTAAAACACATGTACTATATACAACTATCTACAATGATGATAATAACATCTAGAATGATGATTATAACATCTAGAATGATGATAAAAACATTTATAATGATAGTAATAACCTGAGGTAATAACATCTATACTGATAATAAGACAGCTAACACATTGTTGCGATTGCATATATAATGATGCTTACAGTTAAGGTTATGGTGATGCAAACATGAAGAGATAAAAATAGTTATGTTGAACATGCGTAACCTTCAATTAGCGCCGGAATGAAATGTGCAGATCGGTGTCAAGCGTTGAGATGAAATGGAATAAAACGTGTATATCTCTATGTTACAGTACATAAAAAAAAATTAATAGCTCAATTCTTATACATAAACACCGATCGCTACCTCCGGATAGTAAAAGTATTATAACATGTAAAAATAAGCAAAATAAGCAATAAATTGAAATTAACTTGTTATAAAACACTGATATTCTATTAAATATCCCACAATTGTTGCGGGAGACTAACTCTAATTATACCACCTGAGTTCCAATTGTAGAAAAGTGGTACCAAAACCTGCACATTGTGGATCCTATATCTTTTTAATCACCAAAATAATTTTCTTTAAATCTTTAAATCACCAAATAATATTCCGTCTGTTTCTTTCAAATGTCGGAATGAAAAAGATCGCGTGCGCAGTCATATTGCGCATTGACAAACATACATCTGATAGCCTACATTTAATAGAGGTGAAACAGCTAATAACACAAGTAATCTATGCTTACACTAATAACCGAATTTATGCTGAATCATAAATTCTATTATTGGACAGGTTGAACTTAGACAACGAAACATCCAAACAGCACCAGATCATTTGAGATTCCAGCTGATTTCAGATTAGATAAATGATAAAAGAAAGTTAGAAAGCTCCAGTTCGTGTAACTGATTTGATTAAATGTTTAACAAATATTGAATTACTAAAATACAGAAAAAAATGATTCAAGTTTAATGATTGTAATAAAGAAATGTAAATTGTGCTAATGAAATGAAAGTAGATCCTAACATGATGTACTGAATCATGGAAAGATGTATACAGAGAGTCCAGAGATACTGACAATATACAGTACGTACAGATCAAAGAGAATGTGCACCAGTATCGATAATAGAAATAATTTTTTTTATAGATATTGCATGGTTATAAACGTGGTAAATGTATTATTTATTGTATACAGGCAATTGCGGAAAAAAGATCTCCTTATTTTATATATTGAATGCCAATTTATACTTTAATCAAAAATGGGGTTTGTCATAGACACAAAATTGTAATGCAGGTTTACATATAACATACCTCATATTTAGCATCTTAATAAAGTACAGTCACCAATCCATTTGTAGAGTGTATGTCCTGGATGACTTAATCAGTCATTCCCAAGGTTGATGGTCATTGGGCAAAGACCAGTAAAAATTGGTTTAATTAATTTGATTGAAATGCCTTACACAACAAATTAAAATGAGCAATTAAATTTTTAATTTTTAATCATAAGCATATCAGACTGTAAAATTGTAAAATCAGACCACAATAACATCACATGTATACATACTGACTATGCGGTATGGGCTTTGCTCATAGTTGAAGGCCGTATGGTGACCTATAGTTGTTAATTTCTGTGTCCTATGGTCTCGTGTGGAGAGTTGTCTCATTGGCAATCATACCACATCTTCTTTTTTATATGTCTTACATAATGGTAATCAAAGTTAGAAAAATAACATTAAAGTTGGCCAATTGTTGGAAAACTTAGTACATGGACATAGTTTTATAAATATCAAATTGTTGACATCGGCATTCACATGGTGAACTAGCACTTTACAAATCATACTCAGTATGTTGGTCAAGTATATATTTCACACTCTGACCCATGATTTCTCATTCTCAATTAAACTAGCCACAGTGACTGGACATGAACAAGGACAAAAATATCATCTTCCCGGCATTCATCAGTAGTTTTTTTTTTTATGTTTCCTAGTTTACTGGATTGTTTTCATATGCATTCAACACACATCAAAACCTTAGGAAATGTACTGGGTGTTATATTGGTGGATTAATACTAAAATCCAGTTGATTAGGAAGCAGCATTTAAATTTGTATGACATCATGAAAAAAGGTATGTCTGAATGGTTGTGATGCCAGAATCCCCATATTTTGGGATGCCAGCATCCGGATATGTTGGGATGCCAGCATCCGGATATGTTGGGATGCCAACATCTGGATATTTTGGGATGCGAGCATCCCGATATGTTGGGATGCCAGCATCCGGATATTTTGGGATGCCACCATCCGGATATGTTGGGATGCCAGCATCCGGATATGTTGGGATGCCAGCATCCGGATATGTTGGGATGCCAACATCTGGATATTTTGGGATGCGAGCATCCCGATATGTTGGGATGCCAGCATCTGGATATGTTGGGATGCCAGCATCCGGATATGTTGGGATGCCAGCATCCGGATATGTTGGGATGCCAACATCCGGATATGTTGGGATGCCAGCATCCCGATATGTTGGGATGCCAGCATCCAGATATGTTGGGATGCCAGCATCCGGATATTTTGGGATGCCAGCATCCCGATATGTTGGGATGCCAGCATCCGGATATGTTGGGATGCCAGCATCCGGATATGTTGGGATGCCAGCATCCGGATATGTTTGGATGCCAGCATCCCCTTATACTGGGATGCCAGAATCCCAATATTTTGGGATGCTAGCATCCAAACTGATGTGATGTCATCATTCCAATGTGATGGGAAGTCAGCATTTAAAATTAATTGAAAGCCAACATCCAAACGTTGAGGTATTCAATATGAAATTAAAAGAATTACATCAGCATCTATCAACGGTGAAGATGCAATTTTAATTTTTTTCTTCATTATCTGCAGACACTTTTTTGAAATATGCTATAAACAGAAATAAGAAGTGCTTTTTATACAAAACAATTTCACAACTACAAAAGTTATTAATATAATCAAGAGAGCATCCATAATCTTTGAGAACCAATAAAATCCATTATGCAGCATCTGATATTCATAGAAATAAATGAATCAGTATGATTTTTTGTAAAATGAGCATATGTTGATACTAAAACAAATGCAATATAGTAGAAATATTCCGAATATGGAACATGGCCGTAACATTTTCTCTGGACATTGAAAAATTTAGTAGAATACAACATAATTTTACCTTAAAAATTCAAAAATTGTCAAAAAATTCTGTGATGGCAAATGGGAATTACAAATTTTAGTTGAGAACCCATTATTGGTCCGTTAGGATTTTTTTCCTTGGTTAACGCTTCCATATAGACCATGTTACTGTGATCCATTCATGCGCGATACACATGCATGTAATCCAATAAACAAGTGTCATGAACATTTTCTTCTGATATGGCTGTACCAAGTCAGGAATATAACAGTTGTTATCCAATCGTTTCGTTTGTTGATATAGTCCAGCATTTGGTTTTGTCAGGACTTTTTGGACTTCCCCTCTTTTGAATTAACGTTGGAGTTTGGTATTTGTTTTAATAGTTTTGTTCGTAGTTATATTTAATTTATATCCGAATTTGGAGTCTTCACAGTACGGGAAAACCTTCAGCTTTAGCGTTTTCATTCGTATGACGTCATGTTTTGAAATGGCTTTAATGCGCCAAAAGCATTAATGGAATTTAGCGGAATTTTGTTTTATTTTGATTTTGTACATTTTTCCGGGCTCTAATGCATTAATTTTTTTTGTTATGCATCACAATAAGAAGAAAAGTTCTGTATTTTTTTTTCAATTGCAATTCTTAACACATGGAAATCGGCATAAATGTAATGTAGAATCATCTTCCCAGAAAGTGGACAAGGCATAATTATGATCATCTGAAATGATGTATAATAATAATAAAAATATTTAATTGATTATACATGCTCATGGAATACATGTAGTAATGTGGTTGACAAATGAACATATCATTATTTTCCATGTAAACCTTAATAACTAACATAAACTTATACAAACGTAAAATATTTTCATTAAAAAAAAATAATCAAGAGAAATGTTCTTGTATTAATGTACTTTAAAACATAACATCAAAATTCCATTTTCATGTTGAAGCATCCCCTATCACGCCCTCGGACTCATTATTCACTCATAAATCAATTATTGTAGGCATCAAATGATTTACATGTGATTAAAGGGATAGGCTTAAACAAAGTTGAAGATTGTCTCATTGGTAATAATACCACATCTTATTTTTATATCACATGCAATTTGTGCAATGTTTGGTGTTTAGCCTGGTCAACATACATAATGAAAAATATAAAATTTAACATACCTAATGCGTTCATATCTTTGTCTGTATCATTTGTACCAATAGCTAACTTTTGAGACAATATTTTCACAGGCAAGTCAAAGTCCTTACAAATAACATCAACATGTCTTACTGTAGATTTGTACGAACTGCTCAAACCAGCTCTGTTGAAGGAAGTGTATACCTAAACAATAGAAAAGTATCTGTGAAATACATTTTCAATGTGCATACAATAAAATACATATAAGAACTTCCGGTTGACGCGTTCTGATTGGATATGCATTCAAGCATTAATGTAGCGATCGAAGTGAGCGAACTATAACGACTGGATTATTCGGGTTAATATTGGACGACCTCTGTAGTCTTTCGGAACACCGGAAGTCATTTCGGAATACATCTGTTCTTTCTATGGCCCTTTGATATTCGTAATACAGCTTCTATTCGGAACTACATGCGTAGTAGCTTATTAATCGACCTATTGCTAGTATGCATTAGCATTTTAAAGTTGCTATAGAGATATGTGTTTAGTGTTAATTGAGACTGCTTACTGTAGTCATTTTAATTAGTGTCGCATATGTTACGAAATTTATTCTGATGCAAGCTGTATTACTAATATAGATTTTAAAACAGCTTAATTTTCAAATTACCTTCATCCATAGTAATTTAAATGTGAGTTGCACGCAAATACAAGCTGCTAATATTTACATTACCTATATGCGTAGTTATTTTAATTAGAGTCAAACGTTGATACCAGCTGCGTTGAGATATGAGATATGATTTCATGTAAACAATGTGATATATTTGAAATGATTATGCGTATTTAAGATTCGTTAAAACTGAAATTAAAAAAGAAGTCCATCTAGCATTTCATTTAAGATTCGACATCTAGGGAAGATGTACAAAAACAGGAATTTCATTTGTTTTAATACTGAAATTAAAAGGAAGTCTTTCTTGCGCTTTAATAAAATTTTACGTCTAGGATAGGTGTAAAAAACGAGGATTTAAAAAAAAAAATTCGTTAATTTAAAATAATGTTAAGATTAATTATGAAAGTACATTTCAGTTTTTATTTTAATTAAAATTGCAAAAAGAAATAGTTACAGTAAATCATTTTTGTTTAAATATTGCAATATTATTTCTTTTTTGTTAAAATTACAAATCAGATTGTTATAGGTACCTCTGGATCCTTTTTCGTTATTAAAATGTGAATAGGTAGAAATTAAATTTGAAAAAAATAACTGAAATCTAAAATATATTTTAAAAAATTACATTTGACCATGCAGATGTAAGATATGAAAATATTTTAAGAAATGAGATGACGACTTAGGAAGATTAATTAAATGTACCGCGTAAATTACGATCGATAACATCAAAGTTAATCATGCATGCAATATTAGAAGACTTAACAGGGTCAGCGATAATATATCAAATGTCTATTTATAGACACCGAGTGATGATAGATGCAGGCAGAGATAAGAAAACGAATTTCTATTTATAGTAATTAAGCTCATCAAAATTTTCGTCAAAATATAAAAAAAACAAATAATATATATTTCTTTAAGACAACAGAATGATGAATATTCGGTTTTAATCTGATAAATACGAAATTGTAAAATAGTTTTTAGGAGATTTTGAAATTTGTTTATTTATGTTAGATTTTTATAATTTGGACCACAATTAAGCAGAGCTCTGACAATGTACCGTTGTAAACGCGTTATCTAATTAATCAAAAACTCCTGATCAACTGTTTTCACAATTGTGTAAACTAAACTTTCTATGATGTCTTATATACTGTGTTTGGGTTGTAAGTGTTACTTTTGTGATGTAAATGTTCCGTTGCAAAAAACAAATCGGTTATTGTACTAATTAATTAAATTTCAAGACAGTAATTGAGTATAAAATTATTCATAATTGGTACTGAGAGAATCATAATTATTCAGAGAGACGCCTGTTGTTACCATTTGATGACACAATGGCTATATGCAAAGGCCATGCAGGTGGAATGGGATGTTGGCTTTACGAGTGAGACAATAGCCTATTCAACAACTGATACAAATTCTTATATTCAAATGAAATTTTTTGAAATTGAATATACTGTATTGTGAATCCATCTTGTTTGTTACTTCAAAGTAAAGTCAAAGAATTAAATAAAAAAAAAAAATAATCAAAGCGTATTGTGCAAATAAATCTTTAATTTAGGTTTATGTTTTCTCAATGGCATATATTCATTCTCTAATTATTAATTCTTATCACGATCTCATCATCATGTTAGGCTCTCCTAAAATGTGTTTGCTGTTATTAATGATATAAAAAAAGAGAGTTTTGTCATTAATTCTATTCTCGTCTACAATGTTGGAGAGTGTCTTTTGTTGAATATGCATATAGACCAAGGTGAGCGACACAGGCTCTTGAGAGCCTCTAATTAAAGCTCAGTGTGATGTTAAGTAACAATTTTAAATCTTTTTTTGATTTTTAGAATTTAATTTTACACATATAAACTAAGAATGACTTGTTTAGTTAATTCTTTTAACATTTAGATTTTAGAAATGTTTGTACATAAATGTCTCATAAGTCTACATAAGGCTGGATATTTGGTCATTTTAATTCTGTGTTGTTTATGTAATTGTATATATATGTATATATAGATATATGTCTGATCAAATATGTGACACTATAATAAAATAAATCATTATTATTATAATGCAAAATATTTCCATTTGCTGGGAACTTGATTCTTTTACTGCTTCAGACAAGACCTGAATAGAGTCTTTCAGAACAAATACAAGTCAGAGCGTTTAAATATAAGTATGTTAAAGAAAGTATAGATTACCTCTTTTTAAGTGAGATAAAGACGACACATCTGTATTATCATTGTCCTGACACATGAATATGGGATAATAAGAATATTTGGTACAATTTCCAACTATCAACCTGAGATCAACTAAAGTAGATATACGATTATACTGTTAGTCTTATAAGAGTACATTCTGCTCAGTAGTTCGATCTTCCATAATCAATTGGATCAATGTGTAATATATATTATCAGCTTGTAAAATTATCAAAATTATCAAATTTTACTACAATTAAATAAAAGTTGATTGTCTATTTTAAAAAAAATATGTTTAATTAAATTTGGTTATACTTAAAAACTTTTTCTGCTTTTGATTTCGAGTGTTCCTGATAATAATAGTAGTTTATTTTTTAAAGCACATATATAGGAATTGCTTTTTAAAATCAGACCCCCGCTTTTATCTGTATTGAATAGACTTCATCTAATGTTGTAAGAACAAACATATTCTTAGTATATAAGTATAGATAGTGTGCTAAATTAACCGATTCACTTGTACAAAAATAAGGAGATATGGTATGATTGCCAATGAAACAACTATCTACCAAGTTTAAATGAAGTGGATGTAATCAATTATAGGCAACCGTACGGCATTCAACAATTGTGTTCGTTATGAGGTGTAACACCACTAATTCGGGCCCGGCCAGAAAGCACATACCAAAAAGTAGTACATATTAAACACAAATTAATTCCTACGCATGGGTGTAACTTTCAAAATATGTAGAATATTTAGGTAAATTTGGTATCAAATGAAAGCT